GGAGATTTCTCAGACATGCTGCAGCCCGGGGCTTTCCCACTTGCCTTCTGGCTTGGAGCCCTCTGGTTGCACTGGGTTCACCTTTTCAAACTCGAGGGACAAACTCGGGGGCCGGGGGAACATCAAGGAGGAAGGAGGAGAGCGAGGAAGCTGAGATACCCTTCCAGCAACTCGAATGCAGGAACCAGCAGCGAAAGGCATTTCTCCATTGCAACAACACTCCAGCAAGGAAGTTTGCTGGCAAGACGCTCATCCAAACAGAGCGCGGCAGGAGCTGTTCGCAGGCAGCAGTGTCCTCCGTCCCAATCATGGGCTTGCACGCCAAGAAAAGATGCTAAGCGTTGTTCTCAGTGAATATCTGAACAGACACAACGGCCACGTGACCCGCGTGTCCAGCCCAAAGCCGCTGGGATGCTGTGTTAGACACCTGGAAAAATTGCTCCCAAGCAGGTGATGCGCCCAAATCACCGGCAGGATTCTTCAGCAAATGATTTCAAATAACAAGTAAATGTGGCTCAATCACATTCTCTTCATGGGCAGAGAAAGCAAAGACCCAACAGGGGAAATAAAAGATTCCTTATGAATTATTCACTCAGTTCTAGTCCGGTCTACGCAGGGCCTCCCGACACCCCTCGGAGCTAAGAGCAGGAGCATTAACTTCAGTGTCCTGGCCACATTCGAGCTGGGCTGATTAGCTGCCACCTGCCTGGACCCCTGCCATACCCGGCATCATTGCTGCCTGCAGGATTCATCACATCCTGGCCTAATGCTCTGCGCAGAGCTGCCGCGGGCCGTACTTCTGGAGGGGACGACGGCTCGGTGGTGAGTCTCTCTCCAGCTTCGTCTCACTCCTTTCCCCAAGAGTCAGGGCAGGGTGAGGTGCTTTCCCTATGAATGTTATTAACTGGATCGGTGGTATTTAGTGCTTAATTCGTCCCCCTTTCCTTAGCCTGTTGCATGGGAGCAGACGGGAGGAGAAGGAGGGATAATCTTCCAGTTGTGCTGTAGCCGTTGTTTTAGTCCCAGTAATGCGTCACTCACCTACCCCATCCTCTCCCAGGAAGGGAGACGGGCGGTGTCCGAGATGTCCGTTCAGGAGGCATAAGAGCAAAATAGCTTGTGTTTTGAGGCCTCGGTGCTGCGTGGAAAGTTTCAAGCAGCATCTTGAACCCACGTCATGTGAGCTTATCATCGGCTGAATGGATCGCGTCTGTACTGCGTGAGCACGACGGCGCCAGCCAAACTTCCAGAGTCCGGCCCCCGCTGCACTGGGATCCTTCCAAAACCTGCCCCTCTCCCTTTGGCTGTCTCCCTGTCCCAGCGAGGGCTTGAGAGGTGATATTGGTGGGCCAGAGGCTAGAAATACGTGAAATCTGCCTCCTAATCCCAGTGCAGACTCCTGCTGAGTTGGGATTTGCAGCAAAGGTCCCAATCCGGAAGGGATGCCCATAGGCACACCTGTCCTGAAGTCACTGGTGCTGCTCGCTTTGCACCAACAGGTGCATCTGTTTCCTCTCCCACCTGTGGCTCGTGGGTTTTCTGTGAGAACGGCTGTCCTTTGTAATGTGTGCACGCAGCGACTGCACAATAAGGCCACAGTTTCAGTGGGGTCCGCTCTATGCTCTCATCTGAGGGTTGTAAAAATCAGGATGGCAGCATGAGTGAGACAGCTGGTCCCACAGGACAGGAGTAAAAAAATTCACAGGACTAATCACTACCCTTTGCAGATGTGAGAGGAGTGGCTCGGGTCCGTAATGATTTAGGAAATAGCGTGACCCGGCTGTTGCCCTCTGAATACACTCATTTAGCTGCATGGGACGTGGTGCAGGAAAAGCAGAGGGGAAATGCAGGAGTGGATCCAGCTACTCCAGCCCTCCATACATGCCGAAGGAACAATGCTGGACAGGAGAGAACTCAGGAGCCTAAAAGGAGAATAAAAGGCCTGTAGCAACCTAAAGTGTCTTTGTCCAGGGAGGAGGCCGCTGTTGAGGACGTTGTTCTAGGAAAGCAGACTGCCGTGGGCGCCTGCTGAGCTGTGCGAGCAACCTAGACCCGTGCCAGCCCCCACCAGTCCGTGGCTGCCCAGGTCAAGTGTTTTTACCATCTTTAATTTTCCCTGAGGCTGAGGAAAACTCAAAAACTTGTAGAAAAAAATAAGAAATCCCCCCAAAATTAATTGGTCTAATAAAAGGTATCATCTCTGAACAAAGCGGTCTAGAGCTTTGCATTTCTTTGCATTAAGGAGACACGTGCGTGGGTCGGTGGCTGCTTTCCAGTCTCCTCTCTGTTGTGTCCCTGCTCTGTCCAGGCAGCAGCAATGTGGCTGCTCTCCCAGTGCGCCTCTGGGAGCTGCAGTGGAGGCATGCGGGTGCCAAAGCCAGCAGGAGCAGTCCGGTAGGGAGAGGGGGCTGCACCATGGTGGGGACCAGAGCACGGGGAGTCCTACCCTGGGGAGAAAGCCTAGGACAGGGCTTCCCAGATCCTTCCCAATGGCCGGAGGCAGCCCAATTTCAGGACTTCGGGAGCGGAGCTTCCTCTCGCTGCCCTGAGTCCAAAAGCCTCGCTCGTGGCCCAGCCGGCGCCTCACCGCCCTTTCTCTTCCCGAAGCAGCAGGCCAATTCCCACTCGGCCATCGACAGGACTTGACAAATTCCTTTGATCGATACGCGTCTCGCGATGAAGCTCCATCTATCAGTCAGGCTGAATCATTTGTTTTCTCCTGAACTATGAGAGATGCGTTTTAAAGGCCCTGTCGGGACTGATGCGAAGGCTACTGAGCTGTGGAGAAGCCTGGTTCCAAACTACAGGTGTGGGGTGGGGGGAGACGACCTACAGGAGCAGGCTGGCAGATGCACAGGCTGGGAGGGATCCGCTCAGCTTGTTCAGCCGTTAAACACTGGCACAGCGAGGCGCTGGAGGCAGCGGGGACCAGGTGAGTGGCTGCTATCTGCACCCCTTCGCTGCATCTGCCTCTCAAGGCTGCAGCGCATTTGAGCAAGGTGAAAACAATCCTGGGTTTCAAACCAGTGGCAGAAAATACGGTCCATGCTGGGCGGGGGGCAGGGTCCCTTTGTGCTACTCGTTAATTGTGCAAATGCAATGCCCAGAGCCCAGCTTGCAGGACTGAGGTCTCCATGTGCTCGGCAGAGGAGATCTCTGGCCTGAAGAGCTGAAAGGCTAATTCTGGGCATCAGGCATGTTCCCACCAAGCGAGGAAGCATTGATCTGGAGAAAGCAGGTGTGCTCAGAGATAACGCTGCCTCGGCCTGGGTGGGGGGCACTGCTGGACCTCTCTTTGGGAGCTTTGCTGCTGGCCACGTCCCTGCAGTCAGTGCCATGTCCAGGGTGATGACTTGCTTTTCAATCTCCACTTCGAAAATGCAAGGTGAGCAGCCCAGTGCACGCACAGCCCTGAGGGCACGGACGCAGGGCAGCCAGGGACATCCTGCCAGCTGCCTGGCTCCGGGCACAGGAGGAGCCAACCCTGCGGTGACCGGGTGAGCACCCGTTTGCTGTCGTGGGGTTGCTCAGGCGTTGAGTTGCCCTGGCCCGTTTTCATTGAACAGGAAGAATTCCCCACCCTGAGATGCCGGGGGAAGGTGGCTGGCACCAACGCAGCCTCCTGCCACTGGCCGTCACACAGACCTGCCCTCCACCCCGCTCTGGCTGAACAAGAGGAAGGTGAGCCACAGGGAGAGAAGAGCCTGAATCCGCACGGGGATGGCAGCCGCCCCGATGGCGAGAGGTGCCCACTTCACCCAAACTCATTCTCCTCTAGCATCATTTGGCAGGGACACCAGCAACTCTAATTGCAATTTCCATCCTGGCGACTGTGCTCTGCAGGCAAAGTAGGTTCCTGCTATATGATGAGTCACTCGCTCCTGCATATCAATCTATCCAGGATAAAACGGAGACAATAGCTGCTTACATGCATAGTGAGTTAATTATGAGCATCTGCTATTAATCTTGCTATCAGACTGCTAATTGCTCCTTCTCCATAAAGACGTGCTGGAGGTGAATCAGCCCAACCGCCCTTCCCAGAGCTCTGACTTGTTCCCTGATAGGAAGGTCTCAGCTCGCAGCGCCTCAGTGGAGTGACTGGGAGCCATTGCAGCAAAGCACCAGAAAATTGAAATTGAGGCGTTTTAGGCTGCTTTGGCCAAGGTTGCTGGGTTGGCTCATGTGCATTCATGAGCTCCCAGACCAGCTCCTGGCCCATCTCATCTGCAAGAGGAGGGGTAGACCCCAGAAGACACAGTGGGTAGTGTTCCTGCCCAGCACCTCTGCACACCTGAGTCCAGCTTCAGGGGCCAAATCCAGACCTGAACTCTGGGTAGAGTCCTCCAAGAAAGGAGTTTGCCAGGCCTCAGGCTTTGTGCCTGTCAGACATTCAGCAAGCTGCCTGAGTGCAAAGGAGAGCCCAGGCCTGAGGTGCCAAGGTGCAGCATCACACAGGGAGAGCAGGGAATGGATGCTCAGGATGGGACGGGCTGCTGGCTGGACTGCAAGGCATGGCAGAGATATGCAGAGGAGCCAGGACTAGCGTATGGGGGGCTAGGAAGTGGGGAAGCATTAGCTGGAAAGCCAGGTCCCCCTGCCCCTCAACCTGATGAGACCTACTTCAGCAGCCCCGATCCCACTGAGCCTGGCCACCATTTACTGGAAATCCACCCCTACAAATTGTGTTCTCTGGGCAAAGGGCACCAGGACAGAGAGATGGTGCTGTGGTGCCCGGGGGCTGTAACCGCGCTGCGAGGGCAGCCAGGAAGCTGGGGTGCAGCCGGGCAGCGGAGCAGGCAGGCCGGGGTCCATACCAGAAGGCAAGGGCGAGAGGCCAAGCACGCCCACCCGTCCACTCCAGATCCACGCCGACGTCAGGAGCAGCTGTGGCTGGGACGCCAAGTGTCGTTGCAGCTGGCGCGCAGCCGGGCAGAGACGTGGAGATGCACGCTCGCAGGTGAGGAGCTGACACCGCGCGGGTAATGAGGAAAGCAAATGCATCAGGAGCATTTTGGGAAGATGACAGCAGATCAGAACTGCCTCCTTCTTTCACAGATTTATTTTGTCAACCAGTCACTCAGAGCAGGGGGAGAGGGAAGGAAGAACAGGCACTTTCAACAGCAAATCCTTTGGCATTCTGGAGAGACAGGGGCCTTTGATCCAGGAGGTGCTTAGCGATTGTCTTAGACAAACTCCTGCTGATCGCCTAATAGGAGACAGGAGAAGACACCGCCATTCACTGAGGAGCTACAGGGGGGAAATAAGGGGGTTTGCGTGGTAGGGATGCAGCACTCATCAGAGCAAGGTGCCTCTCTGCATTGGGGTCTGAGCTGGGCACAGGCTTGCTGCCTGCTGTACAAGTGCACATTGCTCCTGGCACCTTGTGGCACTACCAACCTGCTCCGCTGCACGGGAGAAGCATTTCCCATGGCGGCACCATGGCAGAGGCTGCTAAGACCCCGTACGACCTGCACTGTATTCTCTGCGGGAGGATGGGGAAGCTGGCGGACAGGATTCGTGTCACCAGAAATGCCAGCCCTCGCCCACAGGTGAATGGGAGGGGGGTTGAATGCGAATGCCCAGGGTCAGCGGGGTTTGCTCCTCCACCTTGGGAAGAAGGAGAAGCTGTCCTCCTGCATTCCCTGGTACTGTCGTGGCCCGCTAGCCCCTTCCTCTTTGCTTCTCCTGCAGCTGCACGACTCGATGTGGGGCTACCTGACACTTGTCAACTTGCCCACTCTA